ACAGAGACACACACAAAACACAAACATACATGCATATGTACACACTCATGATGTTCAAACTCACACAATATATATTCTAAATTTTATCTTTAGTTTAAGATGAAATACAGACTTAGATTTCATTTTCTTGGCTTCGAAAAAAACAGACCAACAAAAAGATTTCCTGTGTAGAATTATAACATTTATTACAAGTTTACCCTGGGATCTATTACTTGGTTACCTCTCAATGTTTTGTGTCTCTTTCATTAATGAGGATCTTGGTATCAGAAACTGGCTACCAAAATTACTGAAACAGATTTCACAGCACAGATTAGACAAAAGGATGGAAGTGATATCCCCTTTATCAGTGGTGCCTCTTTCTGATTTGCCCCCCAAATCTGACCTTTACGTACTACACATGCTAGACATATCACCATGCAGGTTACCCTAAACCTAACATGCCTAATGTATGTTTAGGACTTTATAGTCTTCAATGTTAAAATTATGTTCCCTGCAAAGAGAGTAAATCACAAAATACATAAATCATTTTGCATTGTGCACACTTCAGAGCAACCTTTTAGAGAATACAGAAGCAAGAATACTGTTACCTAGAGGACAGAATAGAAGTAATCCTACCAACAAGATTTTCAGAAATGTAGATTTATGTAGTGATGTGTGATGGATTAATCCCTCACAGACTTAGTCATGTGCAGATGCTTTCTAGAACAGTTCCATGAACGTTCAGATAAGATGTGTCCATTTGTGCACAGCTGAACCTTAATGCTCTCAGCAGGAAAAAAATCACAGCTTATGCATGGAACACCAAACTGCTGTTCTCCTTTATTGTGTAGTGATGTGAAGGTGAATTCTTAAAACAAAACTAACTAAAAAGAAGAAGGAGGGGGAGGAGGAGCAGGAGGATGAGGAGGAGAAAGAAGAAGAAGAAGAAGAAGAAGAAGAGGAGGAGGAGGAGGAGGAGGAGGAGGAGGAGGAGGAAGGAAGGAAGGAAGGAAGAAAAAAAGAAGTGTAGCAATAAGAATTCTAGGATAAAGATCTTGTTCTCAGGGATACTGTCAGCTGGAACCTCAGCGTTCTGGGAGGATTGGAAGGGAAGGTTTTAGAAAGTGAATTAAGAAATGATACCAAATTCAGCTCCCGAACTGTTGCTTCCTTCTCTTTCTTTATTTGAGCTCATACCGGAAAAAAGTGTCTTCACATTCTGTGTAATTCTTTTTTTCTCACTTCTCCAGCTCCTCCCTTGCCCCCATTCCATCTTCACAACTACTTCTATTCTCTCTCTCTCTCTCTCTCTCTCTCTCTCTCTCTCTCTCTCTCTCTCTCTCTCACACACACACACACACACACACACACACAGTCCAGTTAGTTTTGCACTTATTTGCAAGTATTTAGAGCTGACCACATAGGATTAGAGCCTCATCCAGGAAATGAGATCTTTTTCCAACCATCAGTTTTGCAGTTCCTAGAGAAGTGTGCCCTTGAAAAAATGGATGGTTTGGTTATGCTGCTGTCCAAGTGACTCTCAGGCACACTGAGATGTCTTCCCTCTATCAGTTGTTGCTAGCACTCAACTCTGGTTTAGCTATTTAAATTTCGTAAGGCATCTTTGATTGTGCATGATTTTTTTCTTCTGTTTTTCTTCTATCTTCTTTGTTTCAGACTTGGAAAAAATTAATCATGTCCTAAGTATTAGCAAATGACTGTATGAGAATGAAAACTCCTCAGTTCAACACTCGGTTTTCTGAAATGGTGTCATATTTTAATTTATAGTGCATTATATTTTCTCAAGTAAACTCTATAAAGTTAACTTTATTAACTAGTTTATTCTCTGGATCAGCACCCTAACTATCATGTCTTCTTGTGTGGTAGCTATTGTCAGAACTTTATTGTATATAGTATAGACATAGTGTGTGAGTTGACTTAACAACTGCTCTTTTAAAAGCCAGGACAACATATCAGTACTCTCTTTGTAAGCTTCCCACTTATGAAGCTTGCTCATACTCAGAAAGATCTCAGGAATGGTAAAAAAAAAAAAAGAAAGAAAGAAAGAAAGAAAGAAAGAAAGAAAGAAAGAAAGAAAGGAAGAAAGAAAGAAAGAAAGAAAAGAAAACTTTGATGTGGCTAATAGTAATAGTTTCTGAACCATATGCTCTATTTTATTGGAATTCATTTTTCTTGTCCAGAAATGAGCATACTAGAATACATTGACTCCTCCTTCATGATGTATAAATGGGGGTCAACAAAGTACCTTTATCATTAAGTATCAGTATGTTACTTTGTGTTGCTTTTATTTCTTCCATTATTTTACAGATATTTTTATTGTATATAGAAATAACTTGAGCTTATAGGGATTAAATACATTGCTCAATTAACTAAAACTAATCATCAGACCCTTTTTCCCATGTCCACTGATCAAGCATTTGCCTTCCTCCATCTCGGATCTGTTCGCCCTGTGTCGTGAGGATGACAAGGCTGGACAATGATCTACAAATGCTGGCATTTCCTCTCAGGTGGAAAAAAATGGAGGTCTGCATAGAGTGAACCCATTCATTGAACATAATAACACATAACAGATGACTGGAGGGCACTGCATTCAAATGCAGTCCTGCAAACCTGCAAGTCACGCATTCCTGTTTCCTACTGCTCTAAAAGTACATAACTGTGTGACAGATACAGATAAAGCACTACTACATCTGTCCCTCCTACTTGTCTCTTGACTGATTGTGTTTTACGTAAATAGATTTAGTTTTTATTTTTTGCATTGGAAGTCTTACGCTTCCCGTTCATGATTTGCTTCTTTTATAGTCAGGTTTCTGCTCATCAGAAGAGTCGTCTTGATGATTCTCGTTTATAACAATAGGCTGTACTGAGACACCACGTACACCCTAAGGTAGAAAGTACCAGCCATTCATGGGTAGATTACAAGCACATGTAGTTCGGAAGGAGGCCAGCGATGTTGGTTGGGTACATATTTCCACTGGCCTGTTTTTGTTCAGTTTTTATCTCAGTTTGGATTCTCCATGAGGGCATAACGAGAGGTGCTCCACCTCAATGCTTATTTTGGCATATCTCTCTCAAGTGCTTTTCTGTATTTCAATGACCACAGAAGGAGTTATAACTGCAAGATCTCTTCAGAATCAAGAATATAAACAATCTCTTGATAGGAAGAAACATAAGACACAAGACACAAAGACAAAAGCATGAATGACTTTCTCAATTTTTTTAAAGATTTTATTTTTTCTTAAATTCTCTGTATGTGTATGTATCTGTACATGAGTATATGCAAATAAATGTGGGTTCCCATGTAATAAAAAAGCAAGTATTGTGTCCCCTGGAGCTAGAAGTATGGGATGTTGTGAACAACCTCACACAGGTGAAGAGAACTGAACTTCAGGCCTATGAAAGAATACTAAGTCTTCACCACCCAGCTGTTTCTCTAGTCCAGAAATTGGAGCCATGAAAAGAAGAGATCAATGCAGATTTCTGCATTCCCTATTTCTCTTTTAACCTCATTTTCTTAGTAATAACTGTCACTTAATCATAATATACATGTACAGATAGGAAAGCATTTTGTCTTTGACTTTTTTTCTTAATTATGTAATCAGCACACACAATCCATTTTCATATATGTTACAAGGTCACTGTTGTTTACATTAAGACATGGTTGAATTATTCCTGATAAGGAATAAGAGGGCAGAATTATTAATACCAACTGAAATAAATACATTAAATTTTTCTTGCTATTAATATAAACCAACATAAACTGAAAGAATACACTCAGAGAATTATAAACTGAAGTCGTGTAGCTAGTATGTGTTTATTGATAATGAACTTTTTCAAGCATCATATTCTTTATTAAGTGATGGTTTAAGACAGAAACCTGTTGTCACCTTCTGCTTGAAGCATCAACTATTTTGACCAAGATTATATAGCTAAGACAAGATTAGAATATGCATTTTTCTTTTTTCTTTTTATTGAAAATCAATTATCCCCTCTTCTCTGCTCCCTGTCACCACCTCTTCTCTCTTTCAGATCCATTCCCCCTTCTCTTCTTTTTCCCTTCAGAAAAGATCAGGCTTCCAAGAGAAAACAACCAAACACAACAAAACAAGATACAATAAGCAAAGGCAAAACCCCTCATATCCAGGCTGGACAAGGCAACCCAAAAAGAAGGAAACAGTTCCAAGATCAGGCAAAGGGGTCAGAAACACACACAATCCCACTCCCACTCCCCAGTCCTCTATATTATGACTGTTAGCTTGGTGTTTTTGTAGAAAATACATCTTTCAAATATGAAGTCACTGTTACTTTCCCTGAAGAGCCCTGTTATGACATTTGAAAAAAATGAAGAGGCTTGCCATGTTACATGGAATAAAAGATCAAGTGTTGCTACTTTAATCTCATTGGAATAGCACAACAAAATTTTGCAGACTAGGCAGCTCGTGTAAACCATGTCCACGAAGCCCTCAATGCTAGACTATGATTTTCAGGTTCTCCTTGATTCAGTGTTTAGGGAATACATTTCCTGTCCTGGTGATTTGGTGATGCTGCTTTCAAACTGAGTGTTTGATATTTATATATATATTTATATATAAAGCGAGAGAGAGAGAGAGAGAGAGAGAGAGAGAGAGAGAGAGAGAGAGAGCACTTCAAGCCTTATTATAGTCTCAATTGTTCTATCACCAAATGAAAAGTGAAAACTCAAATGGACAGTCAGACATCAACACAGGGAATTGTGGAGATAGAATTCAGTCCCCAAGGACTAGAAGCATCTCTGCTAAGAGGACTAACAAATACAGCAAAGATTGAGTTAGGCTTTACAAGGTGTATCGACCCGTGAGACTCATACCATTCCCTGCACACAAATCAAATGGCTCTGTAACTTTGTGCTTTTCATCTGAATTTTAAATTCAACTAACAGGCTATACATCCTTTTTCCGTGAATAACAAATATGTTGAGTATAGTGTTTTCTCAAACGTGCTGCCTTCCCTCTCTGTTACAGGCCCAACAGCTCACCGAATTGGAAAAGAAGTTAGCTGTTGCCAAAAATGAGCTTGAAAAAGCAGCTCTTGACAGGGTAAGTTGCTATCCAGGAGCCATCATGACTCGGCTTTCAGACATACAGTGTGTGCTTGCTGCTGCCTGCGGTCGTCCAGAGCAATTCTAGACACTGCACAAAAAGCTGGTCATTGAACTCCTGAATGTGTAATGGCTTCCTTGTTCTCATTTTTTTTCTGCCACATTCAATTGAGTGAACTCTGTGGGTTTGTTATTCCATTTTTTGTTTATCTTACTGGCACATTTATTCCATAACACTGTGGGTGTACTTAATTTGGAAACCATGCTGTTCTCTGATAACTTTGGAAGAAACAAAGAAAATGGAAGTAACCATGAGTTGTAAAAAATGTATCTTAAATGCCTGTGCCTTGGCACTTGTCCTCATGTTCAAGAGCTTGGAAATTGGCACAAGGATATTACATGTGTCAATAATTGAAAATATAGGACTTCATATTTATTGTATAGTCATACTTTGGAATAGCACTCCAAACACAAAAATTAGAAATAAAATACATTTTGTCTATAAGTAATAACTGTTCAAACAAATGAAAAACTATTTAAAGTATTTATGGAGGTAGAATAAGTGAAAGAACAAATATTAAAGTTAAGGATTTAATTGTTTTCTGAGAAATATAGTGTAGATGACTGTGAAGAACACTTGCATGTATGTGTTTCACCCTCCACTCATTGAATGGATGCAATGTAATAGTCTGTGCTAGTACTGAATACATAAATATCGCATGTATGTTAAGCATGCAATATATATGTAGACATTGGGTACATGTTGCCTCCGTACTTATTTGTATTACAAATATTTGTCTATCTCTCTGTAATTTATGCACCATAAAGATGTGTTAAGTAGTTATGAAGACATCTTTCCATATTCAATTCAGACTGCTGCTAACCTTGTTCATAATATTTTTTCTATATATCCTTGTAATTCTCAAAGTCATCTTGGCTAAACCTAAAGTGTTGTGCCTTCTGAAAAGAACTTTCTACAATTAGTAATAATTTTATGGATAATATTGAACAGGGACACCAGTGCATTTGTGAACTTTTTTCAATAATTCCTTATATGCACTCAGAGAATCTTAAAAAAAAAAAAGAAGAAGAAGAAGAAGAAGAAGAAGAAGAAGAAGAAGAAGAAGAAGAAGAAGAAGAAGAAGAAGAAGAAGAAGAAGAAGAAGGCTGCCCCTTAATTACCAGAATTGAACTGTGGGCATTTCACTGTGGAACAGATAAGAAAAGAGACCATGTGGGACTGGTTCCCTGAAGATCTTCAGGTTTCACATTTTAGGAAACCCTACACTATGTATGCTTTGATACTGTGCCCTACACTTTGCACTGTATGGTAAGTTTATGACCAGGCTAAAATTTTGCTGCTTAGGATGTGACTATGTCTCTCATAAGCATATATCTTTTCTCTGTTATGATCCAAACATCTTCACAGCTGACAGACAGAGTATGTAGACTGTGTCATAACAGAGAAATTAGGAAGAACGTATCCTGAATGTTAATGGTGTTCCTCTGTAAGATTTGGAGGCTTGGGACAATTTAAATATTTTTTTTAATTATCAGAGAAGTAAGTAGATATCTCACCAACCTTAGTTTTTTGGAATTACCATTTATTAATTTATCCAAGTTATTAACATTTTGATGGAGGAAGGACATGGATTAATTATAATAAAGAAACTGCCTTGGTTAGAACATAGGTGGGTGGAGTAAACAGAAGAGAATTCTGGGAGAAAGAAGCTTAGTCAAGGAGTCGCCATGGTTCTCCCACTCCAGACAGATGCAGGTTAAGATCTTCTCTGGTAATCTACCTCGTGGGCTACACAGAATATTAGAAATGGGTTAGAACAATATGTAAGAGCTAGCCAATAAGAAGCTGGAACTAATGGGTCAGGCAGTGTTTAAAAGAATACAGTTTCTGTGTAATTATTTTGGGGCATAACCTAGCCATGCGGGCGGCCGGGTGCTGGGGACACAGCCCCGCTGCTCCTATTTCAACAGAGTGGCGCCCCGACGTGATGGGCTAAATCCACTTAAAAACCTGAGAAGGCTTAAAAATAAGGGAGAGAGAGTTTAACACAGATTTTTGCTGTTTGTTGGTGGCGTGCTATAGAGAAATTTCCTGATTCAGCAACAATAGCAGAAAAAAAAAGCTGTGTCATTTTAAAGTGTGGCTTCCTGGGGCTGTGCTGCCAGCGTGAACTCTGGTTTTAAAGCATTTCAAGGCTTTTATGGGATTGGATGTTTCTGTTCCCACTTGGGATCAGAAGGAGAGTGCTCTGAGACCATGCCCATGACTCAGCACTCCCCGCCTGCACCTAGGTGGATGGCAGAATCAGGCTTAGACAGGCTGGAGAGCATGGCGGATTCCTGCTGCCATACAGAGACTGCGCATTGCTCTGTGTGTCAGATTTGGCTGTAACTTGGATGAAAAAAGTTTCTATGCTGCACACTCAGTCTCAGAGTTAAACTGCTGACTGAGGCACCAATGTGGACTTGCTGTGTGCCTGGAACTGTGCTCAGCTCAGAAGCACCAAATGACTCTGAGGCAGGAGAGGCTGCTCCATGATGAACTGTGCTGACCTCAGGCAGGAACTACCATAATTGCCATAATAACAGTGCAGTTAAGGTTTAGACTGGGCAGGACACAGGCAGTACCGTATTACCTGTATATGGTGCAACTTAAGTTTTTAAGAAGTGCTTAACATTTTAAGAAATGCTCCTGGATAGTGAAAAAATTACAGATTCACAGTAAAACAGATTCAGACATAAAAGACCTTTATGGATCACATTGTTGGATGAATGTAAGTAGGCTTGGGAAAGAGAAGAAAAAGAATATAAAGAATAAAGTTAATGTCTTAAAAAGAAAAAGGGTAAAGTCTTTAAAGAGACAGAGTACAGAAGTACAGA